AGGCTGGGCTGGGAGGTTTGAGGGTGGGGGGCTGATCTCTGTCCCCCTGTCCCACCAACCCCCCAAAAACTCCCCCATCCCCAAATGCAGAGAGGCAGGCAGGTAAGGTGTGTAATCCAGATATATTTATAGGATTATTTTCCGAGATTAGCACAGGATATTAGAAAGGTTATAAAGTCACATCGACGGTCGTTGGCTCCCTTTTATGTACAGACAAAAAAACACAGCACAACAACACAGCCCAGCCTCTGGCCCCCGCCCTGGCCTCTCCAGAGCTCCCCAAAATATGGCTTTCGTGTCTATTGAGAGTTCAGTGCCGGCCAGGAAGCAGCCACGGCCTCCCAGGGGGTCCCCAAATCCTCCTGGTGACCCAACCCCCGTGCCTGGGTGGATGTGGGGCCACCAAGGACCCCCTGGGCTGTCCCAGACACGGTGACACTGACCCTGCCACCTGCCCTGCGTGTGGTGTCATGCCTGTCATAGCTACAGTGTGGTGTCACCAACCCCCAAGGGGACAAGGACAGGGGCCACACCTCACTTGTCACCTCCTGCTCCTCTGTGACACGGGGTGTCTGTCACCCCCAAGGACTCCACAGGGTGACCCCAAAAGGGTCAGGGACTCGCTGTCACCGTGGTGACGTGGAGTGTCCCTGTCACAGCTTCCACCTGGAGTCCTCCCAGTTCGGGAGGGTCCCTGTCACCCCAGGGCCACGCTGGTGTCACCCCCAGGTGTGACACAAATCTCCCCCACCGCTCCCAGCTCCACCAAACCCTTTGGTTCCCACTGCCTCCAGTGGCCTCAGATGGAATCTCGGAGCCCTCGCAGCCCCTCCTTGTGACCTGCAGGTGACACCGGGCCAGGTGACACCTCCACAGGGCCCTGCCTGATCCCCGGGCTGCCCTGCCACACCCCACAGCACGTGGCACCTCAAAAACACCTCAAAACCATGTGAAAACCACCAAAACCACCTCAAAACCACCAAAACCACCTCAAAAACACCTCAAAGCCACCACAAAACCATGTAAAAACCACCAAAACCACCTCAAAACCACCTCAAAAACCACCAAAACCACCCCAAAACCAGCTCAAAAGCACCAAGACCAGGCTGTTCTCCTTTGGAGCAGCTCTGGAGCAGCAGAACCAGCGAGGAACTGAATTCCAAGAGGGAAAAGCCCCCCTGTCCCTGGCAGCTCCCACCTCCTGCCCCAGGGACCTCCTGCCCCCTCCCACCCCTGCTCCTGGCTCTGCCTGGGACCCCTGCAGCCCCCCAGGAGATGGAATTCTGCTGGAGAACACATCTCGGGGGGGTTTATTTGCAGGAATGACTCAGTCCTGGGGACCTCAAGTGTTGTTGGCAGCCCCGGGATTCATCCCCCGGAGGTTGGAAAGGAGGAAAACCATCCCAAAAATGGCTGTACCCAGCAAAAAAACACCCACAATCTCCGTGTCCTGCTCCTTCCCAGTGCCAGCACCACAGCTGAGCCACGCTGGTCACCTCTGCAGTGTCCCCAGTGTCACATCCCTCGGTGTCACCTGTGTGTGGCACCAACGGGGCCTCCTCTGCCTCACCTGAGCCAGGTGGCACAGGTGCCAGGTGCTGGCAGGGTGTGGGGGGTGGCACTTGCAGCCCTGTGGAAGAGGTGGTGAAATTCTTCCTGCACCTGCCAGGTGAGGTTTCCCAGCCCACCTCCTTCCTGAAGGGCCTCCTCATCCTCCAGACGACCCCAAATCCACGGGGTGACCTCCCAGGTGAGGTTACCCCTCCCCAAATCCATGGGGGGGACCTCCCAGGTGAGGTTACCCCTCCCCAAATCCATGGGGTGACCTCCCAGCTGAGGTTACCCCTCCCAGAATCCACGAGGTGACCTCCCAGCTGAGGTTACCCCTCCTAAAATCCACAGGGTGACCTCCCAACTGAGGTTACCCCTCCTAAAATTCATGGGGTTACCTCCCAAGATGAGGTTATCCATTCTCCACGGGTTCCTCTCCTCCACACAACCCCAAATCCATGGGATGACCTCCCAAGGTGAGGTTACCCCTTCCCAAAGGGCCTTTTCATCCTCCACACAACCCCAAATCCATGGGATGACCTCCCAAGGTGAGGTTACCCCTTCCCAAAGGGCCTTTTCATCCTCCACACAACCCCAAATCCATGGGATGACCTCCCAAGGTGAGGTTACCCATTTCTTAAAGGGTTCCTTCTCCTTCAGATGACCCCAAATCCATGGGGTGACCTCCCAGCTGAGGTTACCCCTCCTAAAATCCACAGGGTGACCTCCCAACTGAGGTTACCCCTCCTAAAATTCATGGGGTTACCTCCCAAGATGAGGTTATCCATTCTCCACGGGTTCCTCTCATCCAGACAACCCCAAATCCATGGGATGACCTCCCAAGGTGAGGTTACCCATTTCTTAAAGGGTTCCTTCTCCTTCAGATGACCCCAAATCCATGGGGTGACCTCCCAGGTGAGGTTACCCCCATCCTAAAGGGTTCCTCTCCTCCACACGACCCCAAATCCACGGGGTGCCCAGCCCAAGGGCATCTCCTGCAACCCCCCTGTGCCCAGACTGGCACGTGGGATCCCAGAACACCTCATGCCAAGGCTGGGGGTGCCCTAAGGATGCCAGGGGGGGCAGCCCCATCCCGGGGGTGCCTGGTTTGGGGGGGCTGGGCTGGACAGGTGGGGAAAGGTGTTTGGTTTTGTCTTGGAAGTGAAGGTGAAAGAGGCAGGAGGAAGGGCAAGGAAGAAGGGTGAACCCCCCTCCAAAGCCTCTGTGGTGACCCCAAACTCCCCAGACCCCAAATCCAGGTGTTTTGGTTGGGGTTCTCAGAGCCAAGAAGAAAATCAGCCCTTTCCAAGCTCATCCCTGCCCTGGGAAGGGGCTGGGGAGGGAAGGGGGGCAGAGAGACCCCAGCCCTGCTCTGGGGGTCCCAGGGAAGCAGCCCCAGCCCCAGGGGCGCTGCCTCCTGCACTGAACATCTCAATAGATGGTTAAAATTGGCATTTCCAATCAGAGAATTTAAGAAAAAAATAAAAATAAATAAAAGTTGGGGGCTTTTCCTCTAGATTTGGCCCCCCCAAAATAAACCTCAGCCCTCCCCCCTCCCTCTGGGGTGGGACCCGGGAGCTGTGGGGGCTCCTGGTGTCTCTGGGGGTCCCACCCTGGGCTTTCACCCCCTTTCACACACTGACTGCACGAGGACAGCTCTGCTCCCGCATGGACACTGCTCCACAAGAACCACCAAGGATAAAATCGGGGCAGGGTCTCACTCTGCTCCCACCTGGAGTCACCCCCCCCGCCACAGGGAGGGGACAACGGGGACACCCAGGATGCCAACCTCACCCCGGGAACCCGGAGCTGATTTTATCCTTGGATATCAAAGAAACCAAAAGGGAGAGAAACAAAGGGAAGAGCTACATCGACCCCAGCCCAACACCCCAACCAAGGGCCCGAAGCAAAGAGCAGCCACGAAACCAAAGCCAAAAAATAAAAATAAAAAAAAAAAGGTCCAAAAGGAAGAAGGAAGAAGTCGCTCACTCACGGGTGGGTCTGTGGGGTCGGGGCGTGGGGATGGAGGTGCAAGCAAGCAAACGGGGCCGGGGCTCTCGCTGTTGGAGTGAAGGATTTGTACAAGTTCGAGAAGCGTCAGCAGCGCCTCGAGGCCGGTGGCTCTCCCTGCTCTCTGTCCCGCCATCCCTCTGTCCGTCCGTCCGTCCGCCCGTGCCGGGCGCCAGAGAAAATCTGTTGGGTTTTGTGGGGTTTGTGGTCTGGTTGCCGTTGCCATCGGGGTTCTCTTGGCTCCATTTCTCTCTCTCTCTCTCTCTCTCTCTCTCTCTCTGACCCTTTTAGATGAAATATTCCTTCTTGTCGTCGCCGCCGGCCTGGCCGCCCTCGGCGTTGATGATGGCGGTGTCGGCGTCCGGAGCGTCGTCCGAGCCTTTGGCCTCGTGGGTCAGGTACGTGCCTGGACAGGGGACAGGGGACAGGGTTTGGGGTCACGGGGGGCTCTGCAGTGCCCCCTCCCACACACACAGAGTGCCTGGAGGGCTCCGCTGGGCTTGGCTGCAGCGGGGAAGTCACTGGGATGGGATGGGATGGGATGGGATCCATGGGATGGGATGGGATCAATGGGATGGGATCCGTGGGATGGGATGGGATCAATGGGATGGGATCCGTGGGATGGGATGGGATCAATGGGATGGGATCCGTGGGATGGGATGGGATCAATGGGATGGGATCCGTGGGATGGGATGGGATCAATGGGATGGGATCCGTGGGATGGGATGGGATCAATGGGATGGGATCCGTGGGATGGGATGGGATCAATGGGATGGGATCCGTGGGATGGGATGGGATCAATGGGATGGGATCCGTGGGATGGGATGGGATCAATGGGATGGGATCCGTGGGATGGGATGGGATCAATGGGATGGGATCCGTGGGATGGGATGGGATCAATGGGATGGGATCCATGGGATGGGATGGGATGGGATGGGATCAATGGGATAGGATGGGATGGGATGGGATGTGATGGGATCAATGGGATGGGACAGGATGGGATGGGATGACTCACTGGGGTGCTCCAGGTTTCTGGGCAGTGTCCACTTGTGGAGTGACCAGTGCCAGTCAGGCTCCTGACCCCCCCCAAGCCCTCCTGGAGAAGCAGGGGGTCTTGGCTGCCCCCCAGAGCAGGGTGGGGGGTGTCACCGTGTCCCCAGGGCTTGGGCACAAACCTGCTGGGCATGAAAAGGGCAGGTGGAGGGAAAGGAGGAGGAGGAGGAGGAGGAGGAGGAGGAGGAGGAAGGCAGAGCGAGGAGCTGAGGGGGCCACCGGGACAGGGACGATCCGGGGACAGTGGGTGTGGAGCAGAGATGGAGAGCAGGGGTGGGAGCTCCGTGCATTCACCGGGACATTCCTGACATTCCCACACCTCGGGCAGGACCAGGAGCTGCCCCAAGAGCCCCGAGGGCTCCACCAGCCCCCCCTGCAGCCCCCCCGGGCCGTACCTTTGTGCCTGATCAGGTAATGTCCCAGCACGATGAGGAGGCTGAGCAGGAGGAAGACGATGACAGCCACCACCCCGCCGATCATCGCGTGGTAGGTGCTGGAGGTGGAGGGCACCGGGCTGGCATCTGCCCAGGCAGGGGGACAGAAAAAAGACACAAAGAGCTGAGACCCTGCAGGGCAGCAGGAGCTGCTGCTCCCCACCAGAAGCTCCATCCTGTGGGTCCTGGCAGCGAGAACGGGGTGGAGCAAAGGGGAAATCTCATCTTCCACAAAAATAAAAATAAAAAATCCCCAGGAGCTCCATCCTGTGCCAGCAGCTCCGTCCTGCTGTGGGTCCTGGCAGCGAGAACGGGGTGGAGCAAAGGGGAAATCTCATCTTCCACAAAAATAAAAATAAAAAATCAAAAAACAAAATGGAAATCCCATCCTCCACAGTGGGGTTTTGGCCCCAAGAAAGGTTTGGGGCCCAAGAAAGGTTTTTGGCCCCAAGCAGGTTTGGGTGGGACGGGACATGAAGGTTGGCACGGCCACCCTGAGAGGTGATGGCACCCCCAAGGATGGCAGGACCCCAAAGGAGGTCCCGAGTCAGCCACATCCTGTCCTGGGTGGGGAATCCAGTGGAAGGACATTCCATTCCGTGCCAGAATCCCTCCTCCCGCTGTGCCCCATCAGCTCAGGGTGGGGACAGAGCCACATTTGGGAAGGACAAGGCGGGGGACACACAGGGGAGGCAGCAGGACAGAGGGACAACACGGCACACGGACACACAGGACGAGGGACAGCTCGGGGAGCTGCTGCTCAGGGTTCCTCCTGGAAAACGCCAAAATCCACGCACACCACGGGGCTGGAGCCACCTGGCAGGGCTGTCCCCAGGCCAGGGCGGGGCCACCGTCCTCCTGTGGAGCTTCTCCGGGTCAAAGAGACAGAAAAGGAGCTTACGGTACCTTGGATGGGAGCTGGAGTGAAGGATGGAGCCGAGGCCATGGAAGCATGAGAGATGGGCTGGGAAGGGCCCCGGGTGGAGTGAACGTGTGGGGTGGGGAGCTGGGGAAGATCTGGGGAGGACAACAAAAACACAGGACATGGATCAATGCCACGAAGGGCCAGTGAGGTGACAGAGCCCTGAGGGGACCCTCAGCGGGGCCATCGGAGACCCTCACGGGTCCCTCTGCTTCTGCCACCAACCTTTGGGACACTGTGACCATCTTCTGCCATCTCCTGTCCTGGTTACCACCTGAGGAACCCTCGTGGTGTCACCCATGATGAGGTGCCACCTGTGCATGTCCTTGGGGACCACAGGGTGCTGGCACCAAGGTGGGCAAGGCTGGAGGTGGCTCCCAGGGCCTGAGACACGAGTGGCTTTGGGGACCCCATGTCCTTCTGCCACCAACCTTTGGGACATTGTGACCATCTTCTGCCATCTCCTGTCCTGCCAGACCCTGAGGGACCCTCGTGGTGTCACCCATGATGAGGTGTCACCTGTGCACGTCCTTGGGGACCACAGGGATGGCACCAAGGTGGGCAAGGCTGGAGGTGGCTCCCAGGGCCTGAGACACGAGTGGCTTTGGGGACCCCATGTCCTTCTGCCACCAACCTTTGGGACACTGTGACCATCTTCTGCCATCTCCTGTCCTGCCAGACCCTGAGGGACCCTCATGGTGTCACCCATCACAAGGTGCCACCTGTGCACGTCCTTGGGGACTACAGGGATGGCACCAAGGTGGGCAAGGCTGGAGGTGGCTCCCAGGGCCTGAGACACGAGTGGCTTTGGGGACAAAGTGGGAGTTCCACCAAGCCTGGATACGGAGCTCTGTGTCTGCTGTGACAGGCGTGGTGCCAACCAGGTGGGCAGGGGACAGCGGGTGCCACCTCTCAAGGACAGCACGAGGCACCCGGGGTGAGCTCCTGGATGGTGCAGAGAGCTCTGGGTGCTCACACAGGGGACACAGGGGACACACAAGGGGTGACACAGGAGTGGCTGCACACGGTTGGGCATTTGGGAGATCGTTCTGGGCAGGCTGAGGGAGGGGACACAGGGGACAAAGTGCCACTGGGGTGCCACTGCTGTGCAGGGAAGGAGGAAAGGGAAGAGCTGGAGCAAGGACCGGGAGAGAGAGATGGAGAGGGGAGGAGGAGAGCAGGAACCTCTGGAGTTCCTTTGGATTTCCCAAATCCAGGGAAAAATGCCAGGGAAATGGGATCATGTGGGTGGGCACGGGCTGGGGTGGCAGCCAGGGGTGGCACTGGCAGCAGCACACAGCACACATGGCCCTGAACCACGTGTGACACGTGGGGACATGGGGACACACACAGCCCTGTCCCACCACTGCATGGGGACACACAGAGAACCCTGAACCACGTGTGACACATGGCATGGGGACATGGGGACACACACAGAGAACCCTGAACCACGTGTGACACATGGCATGGGGACATGGGGACACACAGAGAACCCTGAACCACGTGTGACACATGGCATGGGGACATGGGGACACACACACACGGCCCTGAACCATGTGTGACACATGGCATGGGGACATGTGGACACACACAGAGAACCCTGAACCACGTGTGACACATGGCATGGGGACATGGGCACACACAGAAAATCCTGAACCATGTGTGACACATGGCATGGGGACATGAGGACACACACAGCCCTGTCCCCACCACTGCATGGGGACACACAGAGAACCCTGAACCACGTGTGACACATGGCATGGGGACATGGGGACACACACACACGGCCCTGAACCACACGTGACGCATGGCATGGGGACACAAGGACAAGCAGAGCACAGTCAGGGGACAGCACCAAGTGGGGAGCAGCAGCAGCCACCCCTTCCCACCCCAGGACAAGTGTCAGGGTGACACGGTGACACTTTTTGGGCACACAGGACGCAGTGTCCCCTGTATACACATCCACAGGTGACACAGTGACACTGTGACACATTTTGGGCACACAGGATGCAGTGCCCCCTGTGCCCAGCTGACACAATGACACGGTGACACTTTTTGGGCACACAGGCACAGTCCCCACCACTGCATGGGGACACACAGAGAACCCTGAACCACGTGTGACACATGGCATGGGGACATGGGGACACATACAGCCCTGAACCACACGTGACACATGGCATGGGGACACAAGGACAAGCAGAGCACAGTCAGGGGACAGCACCAAGTGGGGAGCAGCAGCAGCCACCCCTTCCCACCCCAGGACAAGTGTCAGGGTGACACGGTGACACTTTTTGGGCACACAGGACGCAGTGTCCCCTGTATACACATCCACAGGTGACACAGTGACACTGTGACACATTTTGGGCACACAGGATGCAGTGCCCCCTGTGCCCAGCTGACACAATGACACGGTGACACTTTTTGGGCACACAGGACGCAGTGCCCCCTGTATACACATCCACAGGTGACACAGTGACACTTTTTGGGCACACAGCGCCACTGGGGCCACACTCACCGCTGACGTCCAGGTTGTACTTGGCCACCACGCTGCCCATGGAGCTGGTGGCCGTGCACACGTAGGTGCCACTGTCACTCTTGTTGAGGAAGGGGAAGATGAGAACGCTGTCGGAGCTGAGCTGCAGGGGAGCGTCGCTGCCCTCCTTCTCCCAGAGGAATTCCTGCGGGCTGGGCACAAACCGTTCCTTGGGGCTTCCGTTCCTCTGCTCAGCTTTGTGTTAATGGGATCTCTTTATAGGGTGGGGAAGACAAAATCCTACAGGAATGGGATGGGGTAAACTGATACCTTGGGGGTTTCCTGTTCTGATACCTTGGGGGTTTCCTGTTCTGACACCTTGGGGGTTTCCTGTTCTGACACCTTGGGGGTTTTCCTGTTGTGTTTAAGTTTTTCTGCTTTGTTTTTCTGTTATTGGGATCTCTTTATAGGGTGGGGAAGATAAAATCCTACAGGAATGGGATGGGGTAAACTGATACCTTGGGGGTTTTCTGTTCTGATACCTTGGGGGTTTCCTGTTCTGATACCTTGGGGGTTTCCTGTTCTGACACCTTGGGGGTTTCCTGTTCTGACACCTTGGGGGTTTTCCTGTTGTGTTTAAGTTTTTCTGCTTTGTTTTTCTGTTATTGGGATCTCTTTATAGGGTGGGGAAGATAAAATCCTACAGGAATGGGATGGGGTAAACTGATACCTTGGGGGTTTTCTGTTCTGATACCTTGGGGGTTTCCTGTTCTGATACCTTGGGGTTTTCCTGTTCTGTTACCTTGGGGGTTTTCTGTTGTGTTGAAGTTTTTCTGTTCTGTTTTTCTGTTTAGTTTTATATTAATGTTACTGGGATCTCTTTATAGGGTGGGGAAGATAAAACCCTACAGGAATGGGATGGGGTAAACTGATACCTTGGGGGTTTTCTGTTCTGACACCTTGGGGGTTTTCTGTTGTGTTTTAGTTTTTCTGTTTTGTTTTTCTGTTTGGTTTTGTATTAATGTTACTGGGATCTTTTCACAAGGTGTGGAAGACAAAATCCTATAGGAACAGTACGGGATAAACTGATTCCCTTTTCTGCTTTGTTTTTCTGTTTAGTTTTATATTAGTGTTACTGGGATCTTTTCACAAGGTGTGGAAGACAAAATCCTATAGGAACAGTACGGGATAAACTGATTCCTTGGGGTTTTCCTGTTTGGCTTTATATTAATGTCACTAGGATCTTTTTGTAGGGTGGGAAAGACAAAATCCTACAGGAATGGGATGGGGATAAATTGATATCTCAGGGTTTCAGTTTTTGTGTTTAGCTTTATCTTAATGCTACTGGGATCTTTTTCTAGGGTGGGGAAGATAAAATCCTACAGGAATTAGATGGGGATAAACTGACACCTTGGGGTTTTTCTGTTGAGTTCCAGCTCCTTGAGGATGTCCCAGGACACAAAGGGGGAAATGTTTAATTTAGGGACAAGCCAGGATGGATCTGCTGCTCCAGGAGAGGACAGGGAGCTCTCACGGAACCCCCAGGACAGGGACACCCCAAACCCACCCAGCACCTCCTGGGGCTCACTGTGGGACCTGGCAGAGGGAGGGGAGGCCCTGAGGAGGAGGAGGGAGGTGAGGAAGGCCTTACATGGGGTTGCCCTGCCCGTCACATTGCAGCTGCAGCTTCTCCCCCTCCCGTGGGTACTGTGGGTGCGGCTCGATCTTCGCCGTGGGCTTGTCTGAAAAAGGGGCAAAGGAACAGTGGGGTGAGGGCCTGGCACCCCAAATCCTGCCCTGGCACCCCAAATCCTGCACTTGGGATCACAAATCCTACCCTGGAATCCCAAATCCTGCCCTGGCACCCCAAATCCTGCACCTGGAACCCCAAATCCTGCACTCGGGATCCCAAATCCTGCACATAGTACCCCAAATCCTGCACCTAGTACCCCAAATCCTGCTCCTGGGATCCCAAATCCTGCCCTGGCACCCCAAATCCTGCACCTGGAACCCCAAGTTCTGCTCCTGGGATCCCAAATCCTGCCCTGGCACCCCAAATCCACATTTGGGGACAGGATGAGGGAAATGGTGCAGGGACAAATCCCTGGGAGATGGGGACAATCAGGATTTGGGGACAGGATGAGGGAAGTGGAGAAGGACAAGCAGGATTTGGGGACAATCAGGATGTGGGGACAGGATGAGGGAAGTGGAGAGGGACAAACCTCTGGGAGATGGGGACAAGCAGGATTTGAGGACAGGGGTGGGCAGCTGAGGGTGTGCGTGTCACCATGCAGAGGAAGTGTCACCATGCAGGGGAAGTGTCACCATGCAAGGGAAGTGTCACCATGCAGGGGAAGTGTCACCGTGCCCCATGTGTGACAGGACCACGACGTCCACGTGTCCCTGAGCCCACCAGACCACCTGTGCGGCGTCCCCCGAACCCCCAGCCCACCCCAAACGTCCCCCCACGTACAGTGGACCTGCAGCTTCTGCGTGGTGGACCTCTCTGAGTTCTGCAGGGACTCGTGGTCCACGGTGCAGGTGACCTCGACCTCGTTGTCCTCCTTGGTGACACGGAACTCCACCCTGCTGGTCACCGTGAAGGTCTTGCCGTTGGGGTCCTCCACCACCTCGGTGCCCGAGTCTGTGGGCACAGGGACAGATGGCACACTGAGTAGGGGACAGGGACACACTGAGCAGGGACAGCCCTGCCTGTGGGAATGGGGAAATGGAAATTCCCGCTGAAGGGCTGGAGCTGCAGCCTTAAGAGAAGCTTGGGTTGATGCAAATGTTGTCAAAATGTTATTGTAGCTGTATTAGAATTGAATTGTGATTGTATTATAATATATATAATATGTATTATAATATATATAATATATATATATTGTATTATAACCGTATTATAATATATATGATTGTATTATAACTGTATTATAATATATATAATATGTATTGTAATATATATAATATATATTGTATTATAACTGTCAATATACTATTACATATTACATAATCAATACAACATAACTATATTATACAGTTATACTATATTACATTATATATAATATAATGATTTATATATTTTATATACCCCATTATAAACACATTAAAATACATTTTATATTACATACACAACAACACAACTCTACATTACCTCCCGACAAAGACACTCATGACCACCCTCAACCCACAACCCAAGACCCCCCTAAAACCCCCCAGCCTCCAACACTGAACTCAGCCCCCCGTGTGCCACCGCCCCCCGCGGTGTCCCCAAGCTGTCCCCAGCCCCGGCACCCACCCTTGATGTCCCTGTTGCCCTTCCTCCAGCGCAGCTGCGCCGCGGGTTTGCTGCCGGACGAGCGGCAGATGAGCCGCGCCACCTTCTCCTCATCGATGGGCTGCTCGTGCCCGAAGATCTGGGGCTTCTGGGGGATGCCTGCAGGAGGAGGAGGAGGAGGAGGAGGAGGAGGAGGAAGAAACAGCGAATCTGAGCTGGCAGTGCCACCGCGAGGTGTGGCAGGCACGCGGGTGATGGGGACTGGGAGGTTGGGGAATCCTTTCCTCAGGGAAATCCTGCACTGGTGCCACAAATCCTGCACCTGGCATCCCAAAGCCTGCACTGGTGCCACAAATCCTGCACCTGGCATCCCAAAGCCTGCACTGGTGCCACAAATCCTGCACCTGGCATCCCAAATCCTGCACCTGGCATCCCAAAGCCTGCACCTGGCATCCCAAAGCCTGCCCTGGCATCCCAAATCCTACCCTGGCATCCCAAATCCTGCACCTGGCATCCCAAAGCCTGCCCTGGCATCCCAAAGCCTGCACCTGGTATCCCAAATCCTGCACTGGCATCCCAAATCCTGCCCCTGGAACCCGAAATCCTGCCATTGGTACTCCAAAACCTGCCCTGGTATCCCAAATCCTGCCCTGGCATCCCAAATTCTGCATCTGGCATCCCAAAGCCTGCACCTGGTATCCCAAAACCTGCCCTGATATCCCAAATCCTGCCCTGGCATCCCAAATTCTGCACCTGGCACTGGGCAATCTTTTACCCAGGGTGGCACAACCTGGACTTTAGGCACAGCCTGGACTTTAGGCCCAGTGGGCAATCTTTCAGCAAGGGTGGCACAGCCTGGACTTCAGACACAGTGGGGAATCCTTTAGCAAGGGGGGCACAGCCTGGATTTTAGGCACAGCCTGGACTTCAGGAACAGAGGGAAATCTCTTAGCCAAGGTGGCACAGCCTGGATTTTAGGCACGGAGGGCAATCTTTCATCAAGGGTGGCACAGTCTGGACTTTAAGGACAGTCTGGACTTTAGGCACAGTGAGGAATCTTTTAGCAAGGGTGGCACAGCCTGGATTTTAGGCACAGCCTGGACTTTAGGGACAGAGGAAAATCTCTCAGCCAGGGTGGCACAGCCTGGACTTTAAGCACAGTGGGCAATCTTCCAGCCAGGGTGGCACAGCCTGGACTTCAGGAAGAGAGGGAAATCTCTTAGCCAGGACTTTAGGCACAGCCTGGACTTTAGGCCCAGTGGGCAATCTACCAGCCAGGGCGGCACAGCCTGGATTTTAGGCACGTGAGAAATCTTTCAGCCAGGGTGGCACAGCTCGGATTTTAGGCACAGAGGGCAATCTTTCATCAAGAGTGGCACAGCCTGGACTTTAGGCACAGCCTGGACTTTAGGCCCAGTGGGCAATCTACCAGCCAGGGTGGCACACTCTGGACTTCAGGAACAGAGGGAAATCTCTTAGCCAGGACTTTAGGCACAGCCTGGACTTTAGGCCCAGTGGGCAATCTACCAGCCAGGGTGGCACAGCCTGGATTTTAGGCACGTGAGAAATCTTTCAGCCAGGGTGGCACAGCTCGGATTTTAGGCACAGAGGGCAATCTTTCATCAAGAGTGGCACAGCCTGGACTTTAGGCCCAGTGGGCACTCTACCAGCCAGGGTGGCACAGCCTGGATTTTAAGCACGTGAGAAATCTTTCAGCCAGGGTGGCACAGCTCGGATTTTAGGCACAGAGGGCAATCTTTCATCGAGGGTGGCACACTGAGGGCTGTCCCCACGTCCTACCCAGCACGGTGACCAGGGCCTTGGCTGTCCTCACGGGCATGGTGAAGATGGAGCAGGTGTACTCGCCCTCGTCGGCCAGCACCACGTCGCTGATGCTGATGGTCAGCTCGTTGGGGGTGGACCTCTCCAGCTGGATCCTGTTATCCCGCAGGGCTGGGGACAAAAGGGACAGTGTGCCACCAGCCCAGCGAGGTGCCATCATCCCAGACCAGTGTCACCACCCCAGTCAGCGCCCCAGCTCAGTGCCATCGCCCCAGCTCAGTGTCACTGCCCCAGCTCAGTGCCACCACCCCAGCTCTGGGGTTTTACCTCATTTTTCTCCAACTCTGGGGTTTTACCTAGTTTTTTCCCCCAAATTTAGGGCTTTACTTCATTTTTTCCCAGCTGTGGGGTTTCACCTCATTTTTCCCAGCTCTGAGGTTTTACCTCATTTTCCCCAACTGTGGGGTTTTACCTCCAGTTGGGGTTTTAACATATTTTTTCCCCACTGTAGGATTTTACCTCATTTTCCCCAACTGTGGGGTTTTACCTCCAGTTGGGGTTTTAACATATTTTTTCCCCACTGTAGGATTTTACCTCATTTTCCCCAACTGTGGGGTTTTACCTCCAGTTGGGATTTTACCTCATTTTTCCTCACTGTGGGATTCTACTTCATTTTCCCCAACTGTGGGATTTTACCCCATTTCTCCCTAGCTTTGAGGTTTTACCTCATTTATCCCCAGCTGTGGGGTTTTACCATATTTTTCCCCACTCTGGAGTTGTACCTCATTTTCCCCAGCTTTGGGGCTTTACCTCCAGTTGGGGTTTTACCTCATTCTTCCCCAACTTTGGGGTTTTACCTCATTTTCCCCAGCTTTGGGGCTTTACCTCCAGTTGGGGTTTTACCTCATTTTCCCCCAACTCTGGAGTTTTATCTCCTTTTCCCCCAACTTTGGGGTTTTACCTGGAGCTGGGATTTTACCTCATTTCTCCCCACATTTGGGGCTTCACCTCATTTTCCCCAGCTTTGGGGCTTTACCTCCAGTTGGGGTTTTACCTCATTTTCCCCCAACTCTGGAGTTTTACCTCATTTTCCCCAGCTTTGGGGCTTTACCTCCAGTTGGGGTTTTACCTCATTCTTCCCCAACTCTGGAGTTTTACCTCATTTTCCCCAGCTTTGGGGTTTCACCTGGCGCTGGGATTTTACCCCATTTCTCCCCACATTTGGGGCTTCACCTCATTTTCCCCAGCTTTGGGGCTTTACCTCAAGTTGGGGTTTTACCTCATTTTCCCCCAACTCTGGAGTTTTACCTCATTTTCCCCAGCTTTGGGGCTTTACCTCCAGTTGGGGTTTTACCTCATTCTTCCCCAACTTTGGGGTTTTACCTCATTTCCCCCAGCTTTGGGGCTTTACCTCCAGTTGGGGTTTTACCTCATTTTCCCCCAACTGTGGGGTTTTACCTCATTCTTCCCCAACTCTGGAGTTTTACCTCATTTTCCCCAGCTTTGGGGTTTCACCTGGCGCTGGGATTTTACCCCATTTCTCCCCACATTTGGGGCTTCACCTCATTTTCCCCAGCTTTGGGGCTTTACCTCAAGTTGGGGTTTTACCTCATTTTCCCCCAACTCTGGAGTTTTACCTCATTTTCCCCAGCTTTGGGGCTTTACCTCCAGTTGGGGTTTTACCTCATTCTTCCCCAACTTTGGGGTTTTACCTCATTTTCCCCAGCTTTGGGGTTTCACCTGGTGCTGGGATTTTACCCCATTTCTCCCCAAATTTGGGGTTTTACCTCGTTTCTCCCCAAAGTACAGGGTCTGCTGGGCAGGGTTGGACCACTGGAGTGAGGAATCATCGGGATCCTCCACCTGGCACTTGAGCACCACCGTGCCCCCGGCCACCACGGTCTCGTCTGACGTCGTGGGCTGGCTCTCTGCACGAGGAAAAGGACAATTAATGGTGTCACCTCCCTCCAGCTGTGTCCCCAAAAGCCACCTGAGCGCAGCTCTGTGCTGTCCCCGTCCCTCTGCAGGGATGGTCCCAAAAACCAGGGGTGTTTTGCCCATTTCTGAGCTGGGATGGGTCCTGCCACCCCACCGGCAGCACCCACGGGGACTGGGGACACTGCTGTCCCCAAGGCAGCTCCCAGGGACAGGAGCACGGCCCCAGAGCTGCTGGAGGATCCTGCCACGAGCAGATCCCTGCAGAGCATCCCAAATTTGGCCAGTGAGGATGGAACTGGGGATGAAGGGACACTGGGAATGGTTTTAATCCCAGCATGGTTTGGGGTGAAGGGACCTAAAGGTCACCAGTGCCACCCTTGCCATGGCAGGGACAGGGACACTTTCCACTGTCCCAGGCGGCTCCAAGCCCTGCTTCATTTATCCCCAACTCTGGAGTTTTACCCCATTTTTCCCCAACTCTGGGGTTTTATTTCATTTTTCCTCAACTTAGGAATTTTACCTTGAGTTGGGGTTTTACCCCATTTTTCCCCAACTCTGGGGTTTTATTTCATTTTTCCTCAACTTAGGAATTTTACCTTGAGTTGGGGTTTTACCCCATTTTTCCCCAACTGTGGTGCTTTAACTCCAGTTGGGGTTTTACCTCCTTTTTCCCCAACTGTGGGGTTTTATTTCATTTTTCCTCAACTGTGGGGCTTTACATCCAATTGGGATTTTACCCCATTTTTCCCCAGCTCTGGGGTTTTACCCAAGTTGGGGTTTTACCTCCTTTTCTCCCAACTGTGGGGGTTTATTTCATTTTTCCTCAACTTTGGAGTTTTACCTCCAGTTGGGGCTTTACCCCATTTTTCCCCAACTTTGGAGTTTTACCTCCAGTTGGGGCTTTACCCCATTTTTCCCCAACTTTGGAGTTTTACCTCCAGTTGGGGCTTTACCCCATTTTTCCCCAACTTTGGAGTTTTACCTCCAGTTGGGGCTTTACCCCATTTTCCCCCAGCTCTGGGGTTTTACCCAAGTTGGGGTTTTACCTCATTTACCCCCAACTTTGGAGTTTTACCTCAAGTTGGGGTTTCACCTGATTTTTCCCCTACTTTGGGGTTTTACCCCGTTTTTCCCCAACTCTGGGGTTTTACAACAAGCAGGGACGTGCTCCTGTCCCTCCCCAGGCTGTGTTCCTTCAGCTCCTCCTCCTCCTCTTCCTCCCGGCTCCTGGAGCAGCCCAAGGGCAGGGAGAGCAGCTCCAGGATCAGATAACCCCCCCAGCCCAAGGACAGCTATTTTTGGGAAGCTGTCGTGCCAGGGACAAGGGGGACATGGCACAGTCCCCAGCCCCAGCAAATGGAAACACCTGAATTTCTTCATTTTCCACACACACAAGGTGAAAAGAAATTTATCCTTTTGGTGCCATCGTAAACTCCTCGAATAAATAAGTAAATAAATAAGTAAATAGATATATATTTTAAATAATATATATATATATATTTAAATAATATAATTATAAAAATAAATTTAATAATTAAAATAACAATAATTTAATAAATAAAATAATAATAACAAAATACAAGATATAATTATAACAAATAAATAAAAATAATAATTTCATAAATAAAAATATAATATAAATACAAATACCAAAAAATATAAGGAATAAATCAAAATAATGATTAATAAATCCAAATAAATCAATCAATCCAACCCAGCAGCACCAGCCTGACCCCAGCCCAGGGGTCTGAGGGCAGGGACTGTCCCCTGGGTGCCACCCCTCTGCAGCCAGCCTGGGCAGTGCTGGCACCACGAGCTGTGCCAGGTGCTGCCCACGCCGGGAGCATCCGCCCTGCCCGTGCCAGGGGCACTGCCAGCTCAGGGCTGTGCCACCTGACAGGGCTGGCACCGTCCCCTGCCTCCCTCCTGCCACTGCCACAGCACGGCCTGGGGGCTGCAGGGACCCCCAGGGCCCCTGCTCAGGGAGAGGGAGGAGATCTTTTCAGGGCAAATATAGACATTTTTAAATATTTATATAAATGTTATAGATTTTAATACATATTTCATACATATTCTATATTATATCTTGAATATTTTCTATGGATATTTTCCATGAGTGTCCCCATCCAAAAATCACTGTCCCCATCCAGCCATGAGTGTCCCCATGCAGGAAGGATTGTCCCCATCCAACAGTGACTGTCCCCATCCAGCAGTGACTGTCCCCACCCAGAAATTACTGTCCCCACCCAGAAATAAGTGTCCTCATCTAGCAAGGAGTGTCCCCATCCAATAGTGACTGCCCCCACCCAGCAGAGATGGTCCCCATCCAGAAATGACTGTCCCCATCCAGCCATGAGTGTCCCCATCCTGAAATGACTGCCCCCATCCAGCCATGAGTGTCCCCATCCAGAAATGCGTGTCTCCATCCAGCCATGAGTGTCCCCAATCTGAAATGCCTGTCCCTATCCAGCCATGAGTGTCCCCATCCTGAAATGCTTGTCCCCATCCAGCCATGAGTGCCCCCATCCTGAAATGCCTGTCCCATGCAGCCATGAGTGTCCCCATCTAGCATGGAGTGTCCCCATCCAGAAATGAGTGTCCCCACCCAGCAAGGAGCATCCCCATCTAGCAGCGACTGTCCCCATGCAGCCATGAGTGTCCCCATCTAGCATGGAGTGTCCCCATCCAAAAATGATTGTCCCCATCCAATAGTGACTGTCCCCATCCAACCATGAGTGTCCCCATCCACCCAGAAATTACTGTCCCCAATTCAGAAATAAGTGTCCCTATGTAGCACGGTGTCCCCATCCAGAAATTATTGTCCCCATCCAATAGTGACTGTCCCCATCCAGCAGTGACAGTCCCCACCCAGCAAGGAGCATCCCCATCCAGCACTGTCCCCATCCAAAAATAAGTGTCCCCATCCAGCCATGAGTGTCCCTATCCAGCAGTGACTGTCCCCACCTAGAAATTACTGTCCCCACTCCAGAAATTACTGTCCCCATCCAAAAATAAGTGTCCCCATCTAGCAAGGAGTGTCCCCATCCAATAATGACTGCCCCCATTCAGCACAGACTGTCCCCATCCAGCCATGAGTGTCCCCATCCAACAATGAGTGTCCCCACTCAGAAATTACTGTCCCCAATCCAGAAATTACTGTCCCCAATTCAGAAATAAGTGTCCCTATGTAGCACGGAGTGTCCCCATCCAGAAATTATTGTCTCCATCCAATAGTGACTGTCCCCACCCAGCAGTGACTGTCCCCATCCAGTGGAGACTGTCCCCACCCAGCAAGGAGCATCCCCACCCAGCACAGACTGTCCCCATCCAGCCATGAGTGTCCCCATCCAGCAGGGACTGTCCCCATCCAGGAAGGATTGTCCCCATCCAGAAATGACTGTCCCCACCCTGCAGTGGCTGTCCCCACCCTGCAGTGACTGTCCCCAAAGCTCTGCAGCTCTGGGCCTCCAGCCCCACCACGCTCCCAACCAGGAACAATTGATTTTCTGCATGCCAGGAATTCTGCACCACAGGCACGGTGCTGCCTGCCTGGAGCAGCTTCACCTGCTGGAGATCAATAATGAAATGTTTTATTTCACCTGGAGCATCCTCAGGAAGCAGGGAGAGAGGCTGGCAAGAGCCCAGCAGATGTTGGGGGTGAGGCTGGAGCTGCAGGAGCCTCTCCAAGGAATGTCCACCCCATCCCAGCTTTTTTCCAGGCTGGGAAAGCATTTCTGGAGCAGAAATAACCCCAGGAAAAACCACTTACTGCTGCAAGCCCTCCAACACCTCTGGTTCACAGTCATGGCCCAAAACTGTTTCTCATTTCCCTCCTTCATTCTCAAAAAAACCCATTTCTCATTTCCCTCTTTCTTTCCCAAAAGTTCCCTCTTTCTTTCCCAAAAAAACTCTTCTCATTTCCCTCCTTCTTTTCCAAAAAAATCCTTCTCATTTCTATCCTTCTTTCCCGAAAAAATACTTCTCGTTTCCCTCATTTTTTCCAGAATTTCCCAAAAAACACCTTCTCATTTCCCTCTTTCTTTCCCAGAAAAACATCTCTCATTTCCCTCCTTCTTTCCCAAAAAAAACCCCTCCTCTTTCCCATTTACTCTGCATTCATCATCACAAAGATCCAATTCATCCCCTTGGGCACAGATGTTTTGCAAGGCTCCTTTTTCTCCTCTCCAAGGACTTTGTGTTCCACGAATTCCCTCCTCAGCTCCATCCCCACTTTTTCTGCGTGGATCCTTGCAGGAATCAGCCCTGGCAGGGTGGGAATTTTGAACTCGCAGATCAGCAAACCTCAGACATCTGCTGTGCACATCCCTTTGCAGGCTGATTTTTGCAGGGTGTGAATCCACAGTCTGGAATATCCAGAGCACAAATTCCAGGCAGCTGAGCAGCTCCAGATTTCCCAGGAGAGGGAAACCTGCTCCTGTTTGGGTGCATCTGCTCCTGCAACTCCAGGGCTGGTTCCTTCCCCAATCCAGTGGCATCCAGATGTCCCTTGGGATCCATCCAGGCTGTCCCCAAAATGCAGATCCAGGCAGGGAGATGATGCTGGAGCAGGCTCAGAGCCAAAGGTGAGGGTGGGAAGGATCCAGGCTGATCCAGGACAGGGCTCCACGTGGGGTTAGGTAAAATGCAGTGTTCTCTTTGGGGTCAGAAAGTTGAAATTCTCAGCATTTAGGACATCCCTGCGTGGTGTCACCTGGCTCTGGGTACAGGAGCTGCAGAATTCAGGGTGTTCCTGTTCTCCTCACAGGGATAAATCCATCCAGAAACTCCACTGGTGCCTCGAGTTCCTTCTGGCAGCTCCCACCTTTGCACCTCCAGCCCCCACAGCCACTCCCTCCCTCCCACAGGGTGAAGGGTTTGATGCCAGGGTGCCAGGAGTGTCACAGGAATGAAAATATTCCCTAAAAGTGGGAAAAACAGCTCTGGGTGTGTTCCCAGCTCAGCTCTGCCACGGACAGGGGTGCTGGGAGCT